AAAGTACTTTGTAAACCCTACAAATGCTGTAGACTAGTTTCTGCTACTTCTCTAGTCTTGCTTCTGCTGCTTTGGAGCTAGACACATTTGGCCACCTGACCTCATTTTCTAACCTACAACTCGGGTTTGAGTTTAAAAATAATCTAGGTAGGTCTGGTAGGAAAACAGAAAATTTCAATGAAACCCAGAAAGGGGTATTTTTGGTTGAAAGAAAATAAACTTTAAGAGTGTGATCATCCAGAAGTCTCTTGCTGTTATAGGGTGCTTGCTGTTTTCAGCTCATGACCTATAATGCAAAGAAAATCAGTTTGAAGAGGGGAAATTAAAGTGACAGGGAACGTTCGGTTTCTTACCTGCATACATGTGGTATGTCAGCCTCTCTATCAGTTTAACAACAGTCCCTGCTTTGATAATTGGAATCCCAGCCTTGGGCTGTATGTTTTCCTCAAATATTATGTTCTCTTCGGAGTCGGGCTCAGCAAATCTATAGACGTCAGCACTGGGCAGTCTCATCTGCCCCTCCTTCTCCTCCTGCAGCACGGTCACATCGAGCATTCTTTCCAGTGTGCTCCGGTACTGTAGGGAGATCAGCGCGGCCATCCAACTGTTTTTCTCCTCAGCGGACTTGGCAGAAAATATCACACCATTTTCATCTTTTAAAATGATTTCAAACGCATGCTTGTATTCATTGGTGTCATCTTTGTCATTAATTTGTACCTTTCTCATAAAAAACTTCTCTTTAAGACGATATTCTGCATTGCTAGCACCAGGAAGTCTTGGTTGCCCATGATTTGATTTACAGCAAATCATCAGGCCATCAAAGAGAAATATGTGTCTCTCGTGTTTGGCTCCTACACGTGTAAGAGTTCCTTCCATGATAAACTCATTGCAACACTGTCCGATGTCTTTCCCCTCCCAGCCATCAATATTCTTCTGGATCTCATTCATTTTCCTGATTGCTAGTTGTTTCCCCTTCATTTGTTGGCTGTAAAATCGACATGCAGATTCACTGGGATAAAGGAAAACATCATTAACACACATGGGACACAGAATCTAGAGGTAGGAGAAATAAGGGTATCGGGTAAAGAAGAACATCTTTAAAAGTTGTAATGCTAAGGTGTTCGTTCGCTCATGGCCCAAATATATTCGTGTTACACAATCACACATTTTGGGAAATTAAAATAAGAGTGGAGACATTTTTTTTAGTGCTCTAAAGATGACTACAGAAAAATGCTACCCTCTACATCCAGACACAGAAGGGTTATTTCTACCGTGGCTAGGAAATACTCAGAGTGGCCAACAGGAAAAGTACCCCACCGGGAGGGAAGAAGTACTTTTAGAGACTGAAAAATATTATTTAGAAAGGGCTGAAATGGTCTAAGGTCGGCACTAAGGAAACAGCAGCACACAGCACAACTAGGAAACCGGAGGCAGGATGGTCTGAATGAATGCCGGGAGCTCGACCATTCCGAAAATAAGGACACCACTAATTACCTGCACAGAACAATGACGCCGACCTCCATCTACCCGATACACTTTGCTCTCCCTCTCCGTTAACTTACCAGTCGAGTGTCAGGAGGTCCTGTCTGGGAGCACGCAGGGAAAATGCACAAATACGAAAGGTTTTTCAAACAATAACACACTCGCTTGGCTTTGATGTCACTTCCTCTGAAAGACCAAGCTTGTCACTAAAACTATTTTCTTCATTGTTTACTTGAAGAGGGTGCGGGGAAACCTGAATTTACACCACAGCACGCAGGGTGAAAAGCAGGACGAGTAAAAATAAAGTGAAAATAGTCACCTCAGTCTCCGCTTTGCAAGGCTTTTAGAACATATTTTTTCCATGCCACTTTGAACATTAAGCAAAGCTGTTATTGCTTGTTTCAAGCACTCCTTGTCTTCTTGATCTTCACTCTTTTCTTCTAACTGCTGCAAAGCCAAAACGACAAATCTCAGCCAGCAGAACTAACGTTGACAAAATAGTAATAATAAGCCTGTTTTCTTGAAGGATAAAAATAACACCGACTCAATGCCTTCCACGGCAGTAGCAGTTTTTCAAGTGTCACAAAAGCCTTCTTTGTAAGAGCTTTCTTATTCTTTCTGTGTATTACTATCGAGATGAACACGCTACTTTGCTTTCCCACATTAAACACAGAACAAAAAAAACACTCAAGGGCATGAACTGTGTTAAGAGATGGGGTACACTTTGTACACACACCCTGTCACAGGCAGGACTGTACAGTTTCTTGAATTGCATGTTACTGAGAAGGAATGAGGGGCATGATGTCTTTTTTAACTATTAGAGGATTAGCCCAGCATTAGATTCGTAGCTCTCAACTCATAGATTTTTTTTTTTTAAGAGAATGAGACTTGATCTCAACATTATTTTAAGACAAAGGGATCAGGAAGATGGCTGTAAAAAAAGGATGCAATATAGTGGGGGGAGGGAATTGGCAGACACAAACATCGAGGACCAAATGTTGACAACTTCTTTGTGACCCTGCAGCAAGTTACTTGACCTTTGAACCTAACTTTTCCTACCTGTCAAATGAGGCTCATCTAGTGGAGTTAAGAATCAAAACACTTTGTAAATGGTAATGCACCACATAGGTTTGTTTTCTTTGCAGTGCTTCAAAATCAGCACCATTGGCATCATGAAGAACTCTGTCGGTGTCCATATATTAAGATTCTGAGAAAAGCTAAGAATTTGCACACTTACAAAACTCAAGCACATTTTCTGTTAGTGGCAAATATACTACTCAAGTATATGTGCACAGTCTCTTCTCAACAAGGACTCTATCAAGAATTACTAATTAACACAGTCAGGTAGCTGTAACGTAAGCAAGCAACCCACATATGAATGATTATAAATAACAATTCAGTAACTTGTCAAACCACTTTCTTGCTATCCAAGAGGAAAAGCTAAGTAATAACATTGTTCATGCAACTAGGTAAGAACACATACACGCTACTTAACAGAAAAGACCTGAAATATAAAACCACAAAATATTCAAAGTAATTTATGGAGAAGCTTGTTTTTCACTAAGCTTCACTATTATTTACTGCTTCAGTACTTTAAGAATTTTATATTCTTGAGAGGATAGGCTTAAAGATCATCATCACACATTTTTTTTCTACTTCTACTGGTAAAAAATAGTCCTGCATACACCAGTGTGTATAGATGATCTATAGAAAACAAATGTCTTACCCAATACCCCAGGCTATTTCTATAAAAATATTTTATTTTAATTCTCATAAATGTTCATTATTTTCAGATATTGTAGAATAAATGCCATATTGTGAATTCTATTTAGTACAAAGCTTTTATCATCCAAATTCATATGCTCACTATTATGAATATATACACTGTTTTATTAATATACTTTTCTCACCACACTGTCTAGTAGGGGCACAAAATATGCATACTTTTAGAAGGATATTGAGCCTCAATTTGTTACATTAAAAAAATAGAGAGGGAGATTGTTTCCAAAGAATAAGAGATCTTAAAACCAATAAGTACATTATATAAAATGGAAAAAGAATCCAAATGCCTTTTATTCATAATATAGGTATTGTTTTTCTCTGTGACAAGCTAGGTGAAAGATAGCTAGTGCCAGGTGATCATAAAGAAAGATACTAGTATGTTTATGATTGATATTACCAATAGGCTGAAGGCTGGACCTGGGTTAACATCTCAAAGTACCTACCATCCCATTATCATTATGAAGTATTTACTTCTCTTAGGGCAGAATTTTTGGAGACATAAAACATGACCAGCTACCTTATTAAAGCTAGGCTTCAGGGGTAGCAGATAACCAACCTAACACTGAAGAAAATAAAGGGAAAACTCTTAACGATACAGCATAAGCACCACTGAAAAGTGGTGTTTCGTTATGTCAGAAATTAGTCACTCAATCGTCCATAGATAGTCGCGTCTGTTTGAGCCCGTACTATTTTGTCCTTTGATATTGAAAATGGTTAATTCAAGCAAACATACCTAGAGACATCAAAAACACACACTCTAACACATATAAACCATGCTATGAAATAACAAATCCATTTAGACATGCATTTGATTTTCTATTCTAAAATTGTTTCACTTTTCGGAATAATTTTAACTGTAGCATTGCAAATACAGAAATATACTGGGATCTCAAAATTATTAATATACTGTAAAACCACAAACCCAAAGTATTATTTCAAAATCCATAAATCTTTCCTGATTAATTTTAAAATGCCATTTTAACTTTCAATGCAGTAAGCAAACATCTAAAAGAAACTTGAATGTAATAACTGACCTTTCCTAAAAGCATTATGTATGAAAATCCTTTCTTCTCTATGGTGCTCTTACCTAAGAGAGCTGATTTAAACTGAGCCCTGGTGTGGAAGGATTCAAGCTAACTACTGCACCAAAAGGGTGGCTTTCTGTTGCTACAGAAACAAAGCAGTGGCAATTGCTATGCAGATGAGACTGCACAAAGGAGCATCCTCTTGTTACCAAATGACATCCAATACCTGGCCTCTCAGGGTGCCTACTGGATTGCACAGTGCAACTGCAATGCAGTTTACGTTTACAAATGCAGCCCGTCTAAAGAGTTTTAAAATGGCCAAACCCTGAGATTCTATTGTCAGATGTTTGTGAGTGTACTTAACCTGGCCTGGGTGACTAGCTTCAGAGCACAAGGAACACTCAAGTACTTACAGAAATGAGCAAATGGATCTTTTCTCAAGAATGAAGCCACTTTACCAGTGACTAGATTTTTTTCTTGCCCCCATGGAGAATGAATGGACAGTACTCAATATGGTATATGGTGTGTCCAGTGGAAACTCTGGGGCAGATGGGGCACAAAATTTAAGGAGCTGTGAAAGAATATTCACAAATCATGTTCCAGGGTGAAGTCGTGTGTACCTAATGTGTTCGACATGAGTTTAATTCATTCAGAAACATAATGGCTTCTCTCTGTTTAATAGAAGTTGAGTGTGTATGTTTTTATTTCTAGGAGTCCATGTTCTCCAACGTATGATTATATAAAACGAAGACTAGTTTATGGCGGAGGCACACAAGACCAGAGCTCTGGTTCAATGACCTTTTCACTATGGAACCCAACAAACAAACGTGCCTTTGAAAAACAAGTGTCTAAAAAATATTCACTTAATGAATATTCACTTTTTCATTCAAACAGGTAAATGACAATGTACAAGGATGACAAGGTATCAAGGTGTACAATGCATAGAAATAAAGATATGTGTCTGAAATATGTGTGTGC